AAGGTTTCTGCCCTCCGGGTTTTGGAAGGAGCGTGGCCCTGCTGATACTTTGATTTGGGGCTTCTGGCTTCCTACCTGTGAAACAGCACATTTGTTTCAAGCCCTGCCGCTAGCGGTCCTTTGTGAGGGCACAACTTCCACTGTCCCATCTGAGCATCCAGTACTGGGGCATTCCTGCTCCCTCACCAGCCTCTTCCTCTTCCTGTGATCTGGCCTCTTCATTACGTTCTCCAGGGGCCCATCAGGCCTCCAATTCAGCTTCTCAGCCTTAGTTTCCAGATTTTTCTACCAGTGACATCCTCTTGTAACTTTGTCACTGAGACCCCATCTGATCAGTCTCTCTTGCCCGGGCAACTGCCCCAGCCTGCCCCCCAGTTTCTACTCTTGCACCCCAACCATCTGTCCTCCTGGCGGCAGCCCAAACATGCTTTTAAAAGTACAAATCTGATCCCATTACTCTTCTGTTCAAAACCTTCCACTGGCTTCCCATCCTTCGTAAAATAAAACCCAGACTCCTTACCATGGTCCACAAGGGTCTACACAGCACGGTCCCTATCCACTGCCCTGAGCACCCCCTACTCAGCCTCTCTGTCCATGCCCCAGGACCTTCTTGCAGTTCTCTGAACAAACTGTGTTCCCTTAGCCTCACACCACTGCTCCCTTGGACGGGATTACACTGCCTTCTTTTTTTTTTTTAAGATTTTATTTATTTATTTGACAGAGAGAGAGAGATAGCGAGAGCAGGAACACAAGCAGGGGGAGTGGGAGAGGGAAAAGCAAGCTTCCCGTGGAGCAGGGAGCCAACGCAGGGCTCGATCCCAGGACCCTGGGATCATGAGCTGAGCCGAAGGCAGACGCTTAACAACTGAGCCACCCAGGCGCCCCTACACTGCCTTCTGATGGTCCCCCAGGTGGGCTCTTCTCAGACTTTGGGTCTCTGCTCAAGTGACACCTCCTCTGAGTGACACCACTCTGAGTCTCTCCTATGACCCTAAAGGCACTTCACTGCAAAGACATTAACATGTTTTATACATTCTTAATAACATGTATTACTCTTAGAGAGTAACCTGTATTGGTTTATTATTTCCCAGCTCTCTAAAGAGGACTCTTTCAGGCTATTCCTTGTACCCAGTGCCCAGAATAGTCTGACACTTGGTACTTAATACTTTTGAGTGAATAAATAAGTAAATTAGCTGCTAGTGCTAAAGCCCACCAAAGTGCAACTTCTGGTAATGCTAAGGTACTATTTTTCTTTTTTTTTTTTTTCAGATTATTTGACAGAGAGAGAAAGAGAGGCAGAGGAAGAGGGAGAAGCAGGCTCCCCGCTGAGCAGGGAGCCCGATGCGGGACTCGATCCCAGGACCCTGGGATCATGACCTGAGCCGAAGGCAGATGCTCAATGGACTGAGCCACCCAGGTGCCCCCTATTTTTCTATTTTTAAAGATATGGAAAATTTCAAATATACCCCAAAAGAGAGAGAATAGCACATTCTACCCAAATGTATCCATCACTAAGGTATTATTAGTATTATAGCTACTACAAATAACATAAAATGCACTGCAGTGTATACAGGGCTATCAAAATATAAGGACAGAATCACTAGGACACGGATATCCTCATGCCTGAAACCTAGAGCACATTCACACAGACACTGATGGAAATGTTACCAGGACAATGATATCTTGGCTTTGACTCTGATTCTTGTTCAAGCCACGCAGCCCATCTCCAGAGGCCCTCCAGGCCTTCCTCCGCTGCCGTCCCTGGAGCGCCTTCCTGGCCTTCTGCAGCTCTCCTACCATATGTTTTTCAAACGTGCTGACCAGTGCCTTGGTTTTAATCTCTTCATCAACATCCCAGACATCTTCAAGTGTCAGAGGTTGCTTGTAGCCTTTCATAATGATGCTGGAACCAGAGCGATCAACAGGCTGAGACCCTACAGGCTGGGTCAGGGGCAGTCCCCTTGCTGCTTCTGTCAAAACCTGCCCCCCCGCCTCAGTTCAGAGATGGAGGGACAAAGGATGGGAGGAGGCCCATTGCTCCATCTCCTGGCCCTTTACACTTGACAGAGGCGTGGGGAGGGCGGAAAACCGATGGGAGAGGTGATGGAATGTGGAATAAGACGAGAAGGGCAAGAGGAGCAGTGCGACTGAATTAAAAGCCAAAAGAGCATCACGTCCTCCTGCCCCTTCCTCCTCGAACACTGGCTGCCTCTCTGCATCGGCATCTCCCTGAGGGGCCTTCACGATGCCTTTAAGGAACTGAGCAGCCCTGGAGGCCTCCTCTATGCTCTCTCTCTAGATCAGGGCCCACCAACCTGGTGTTTGAGAACATGGATACAAAATAAATTACATCTTTATTTTCACCAGCTTCTAACTGAAATCTAGCCTTTCCTTAGAACATGAATGGAGGCAACCAGACAGCTGGAAACAGGACTGCACGTTCCTCTGACACCAGGGGACACCACAGTGTTTTCATGGTACATGTACACTCAGGGCTACTTTGAGATTGTGGTCATTATTAGCCCTATCGCTCCTTCACTAGATCTCGTCATTTAACATGTGTGTAAAGAAGCGCTTGGGTTACATCACAAATTTGTTTCTGTTTTTTTTTTTAATTTAAGTGATTTTATTTCAATATATTTGGTTTCCTTTGTAACCTGTGTCTTTTTCTTTATGTGCTGAAATCATTATCTGAGAAGGGGTTCACAGGCAGTACCAGCTGCCAAGGGATCCATAGAACTGCAAAGGCCAAGAGAGCTTGCTGCAGATCCTTTGGTAGCCCAGGCCAGCTGGTGCATCTCTTACCCTTCGAATTGTGACACACTGCCTACCCCCAAACGTCCCTCTTCTTATCCTTCTGCCTTTTTCCTAACATCCTTCCTTTTCCCCATGGAACCCCCAGGCCACCAAGAGCAAAGCCCCCTCCACCCTCTCCTCCACATCTCAGTCTGAAATAAATAGATCTATTAAGTCAACATTCTCAGACTCCAAGTAGAGGAGAAATGGAGGCCTTGGGAAGCATTTTTTAAAATTAATAATTCCATCACTTTCAGAAGAATGAGGGGGTAGGGATAGGGACAACCCACACTCCAGGCATTTCTTACCTGTCATACCAACTAAATGTAATGCTACTCAGAAATGAGGCTGTGAATGATGGATTCTGCAAGACACACACACACACACACAAAATCAAAAAGTAAATCAGCTTGAAACAGGAACTTTGTGGGACTCTAAAATTGGAAACTGACTTTTTCTAGGTATGCTTTGCTAAAAAGTAGACATAAGACTGAAGTAGACTGAATGACATAGGTTTATCTGGAGACCCTAAAGTCACCAGGAAAAATAAGATTTTCTGGCATAGATAGGTGAATGAATTGTCCAGGCTGAAGATTGGCAGGTCAATGTAAAAGTATTTCCATACTCATAAAAGAGTATTTCTGTACGCTAGCCACTTTGGTTTCCTTAAGCCATAAATGGTCCACACGGCTATATTCTGGGCTAGTGGGACCCCCATGAGGCCTAGGCATCTCAAAGTTACATGTGTCAAAATACCATCCAATGAAATAATACATGAGATGGGCATATTTAGAATCTCACAGTTGATGAGGCATCTTTTTCTGAAAATGCTGAAAGGATCAGGATCAGGATCTGCAGTGCATAGCAGATGAAGAACAGGCAGGAATAGGCCAGGTTAGAACTGCTGCCCTATGGGGAGGAAAAACAACAACAAAAAACAAAGAAAATGAGCCTTTTTCCAAATTAAGTCTAAATGGCCCACATAGGTCAATGCTTGTGATTGAAGCCTATCATCAAATCCCCTAAACAAGTTCTATCCCAGAGTTCAACGGACTCTATGCCATTCACTCTTAGAAGTTGATCACCACTACCTTCTCAAGTCACCCTCTCTTTCCTCCTTACCTTTAAGAGTGTCCGGATCAGAGTCTGTAATTGGAAAATGCCACAGAGTATTGAGAGAATCCAGAATAGGGACAGGAACCAAGAATCCTTCTGCATGCACCATCGCCTGCTATGTTGGATCAACAAAACCAGGAGCTGGAGAGAAATTCACAAGTTCTGAAAAATACTGTCACCAAGGATGAGAGGCAAGAAAGAGGCCAGAGAGACAGGGAAAGAATGGTGGGTTAGAGGAGGAGATTGTTAGAACTAATCTGGCCAAGCAGAAAGCACACAAATGCCAAGTTGTAGACTTCCTCCCTGATACAATCCAACCTCTTCTTTTAGGGCATCTGTGCTCTTCCTGGGAATCCCTTCCCCACCCCATCTCCCCATCACACTTGGGTGGGGAGTTAGCCAAGGAGACAGAGGGTCACATTCTGCATTTAATGGAGTTACTTTGGGAGACAGAAAAGTCTTTTCAAGACCCAAGGAAGTTCATTTCAGGTGCTGCAGTAGTCCACCTGGGAGGCAGTTTCTGCTGGACAGGTGCAACTTGTCTATGTGATTTTCTAATAATATCAAACTAAGCAATAAAAAAAAAAAGCTTGCCTTGTAACATCTCACTTAAATATAGTAAGTGTTCATTTCCTAGACTCAGTGCTGAGTTTGTAAACTACCATTCTGAAACAAAGCCATGATTAGTAGCATTTGTTCATTTCTGTGCTATAGATATTACTACCGTGGTAGATTTCAAGCCCCAACACACTGTCACTAAACACAGCATTGGGAAGAGATGCACACACAATGGCTGACCATTGCCCTATGGGGATATAGGCCCATAGATACCAGGCATTCTGATTTTTCAAGAAAGTTTAGATAATCCAAATAGTTATGTGGCACCTTCCTCTTTTAAAATGGTAGTAACTAATTCAGTTGTTTTTATTTATTTATTTATTTTTAATTCAGTTGTTTTTAAAACACTGTGCAGGCCTCCCCAAAAACCAAGCCTGCAGGAGAGATAGCAGCTTCTGTTATCGAGTTTATACAAACAACTCTAGACTCAGGGATCCATTGATGAGTCATTAGTCAATTTAAGAATAATATTTACGCATTTAGAAAATTCTTTTACATCAAGAAACTTGGCTTTCATGTGTGTATATGTATATTTACTTATTTATTTTTTACTTTCCAAATACTGTTTACTTCACTGAAGCCTGGAGGCAGGGAAAGGGTGTGTGAATGTTTGGGACACCAAGTCTAGGACTGCATGTTGACAACGGTGACATACAGGGCCATAGAGTGCTGTCCAGCTGCCCAGGGAACAGAGATGGACAAAGGTCTCCATGACAAAGGCCTCACAGATGCTAAGGAGCATCAGTAGGAGTACCGATGGCTGAAAAGTGAGGTATGGGTGGTAGCGTGTTATCATCCAGACCTGGGCAGATGAGATGATGTAATGGACCAGACTGATGTTGGAGTCCATGGTCTTCTGGATGTCCTTCCAGTCAAACTCCATGCCCTGGGCTCCAACTCAGATGGGATGCAGTGGGACATAATGAGCATGGCCATGGCCCAGCCTAGGGCAGTAACATGATCTTGTATTCCCCCTTGCATACATTCCAGGACATGACAAGGTTTAGGCCTAACAGGCCTGCCACATCCATGTTGACCTTCATGACACCCCAAAGAAGTCAGGGATGCCACCTTCCCAGGTGGGGAAAAACAAGGCCAGGAATAGCATCTTGCACAGCTGCATGAAGAGGTAGGTGACCCTGGCCTGCACGCACTTCCAGAAGGCATTGCACTCAGGCCACAGTGCTTGTAGGTGATGAAGTAGAGGAAGTAGGCCAGGGTGAACCATTCCAGAAGTGGCACAGGGTCATGGCACTGACCTCCTGGGCCTGCCAGAGCGTGGGTCTCTGCCTCGGCTGGCCTGCCACTCACTCATGTATAATTATTAGGTGGAAAGATAGGAGGGCATAAGATACATATCTTAGGCATCAAAGTTAGTATTTACACTAGGGAGAAGGATCTATAAGTTAGTGCTCAAAAGAATATACAAAACTAAAATTTGATTCAACCCCATTACAACCAAGTTTTGCCTCATCATAGGCCCCTCAAAAAAGGTAGATGAAATTGACTTAATTTTATTCCAAAAGAGTACATTTCAACTAGATAACTATGAATAGGAAGAGGGAAGAGGATAAACAGGACAGGAGTGGGGGTAGGACTTACCCATGTGCCCAGGTAAAGGCTTGGATTGGTGTATCTAATGGCAGGGACCGTGGCTTGTCCAGAGTCTTCTGTGAGTACAAGGGCCAGCTCTACGGCTGCTAGAATAAGAAGAAACCCAACAAGCACCTGAGAAGGAAAAAGACCACTGTTAAGAGGATATCATGCTTTAGAATAGAATGGTTCCTGATAACAGATGAAGTTCAATGTATGCTAGGATAGGTTTTTGAGGAATGTTGAGTGTGATGGTTTTAAACTGTGTTCACAAATTCTTTGATATTCCTCCCCTCAAAAAGTAGATCTTGGTACCCCTCCCCTTGAGTGCGAGCATTAACTTAGTGATTCAATTCTAAAGAATAGAATATGGTAGAGGGTCATAAAAAACAAGATGCCTGCCCCATTCTCTTTCTCAGATCACTCACTTCAGGAAGAGCTATCAGTGCCATCGTGAGGACACTCCAGTAGCTCTATGGAGAGATCCACTTGGTAAGTAACTGAGACCTCTTGCCAACAGCCATGTGAGTGAGTCATCTTAGAATCAGATGCTCTAGCTCCAGTCAAGCCTTCAGATGACCTTAGTCTCTGCTAGCATATCAGCTGCAAGGCCATGAGAAACCCTGAAGCAGAACCCAGGGAAGCAGCTCCCAAATTTCTGATCCATGGAAAATGTACGAAATGTGGTTTTTTTAATTGCTAAGTTTTGGAGTAATTTGTTATACAACAATAGGTAACTAATAAAAATAGATTGAAAAAGGGAGCCCCCTTACCCCAATTGGGATTTCCAGTTTCCTTGGTCATATTCCCATTTCCTTGGTTATTCCCAGCCTCTTCCCCAGACAACGTTTGAAGTTAATGTTGCAAACAATTGTGACTATGTCACCCTAGGAGGACTCCAAGCCAATCAATATTTGTCCTATGAGTTCATAAGACATGCTACACATTGTATTATTCTAAAGCATCACCTCCACCCATCAGGATAAAAAATTACTACTTCCAGTGAGGAGGTCCACCAGAATCTTAGGCCTCAAAATGAGGATCTTTAGGACCATCTCCTTTACCCCCATCTCTTCAACTCCCATCATCTATCCCTACTCATTCCCATGTCTCATTCATCCAGAATGGTTCAGGCAGAAATACTGGGCTGCTTGTAATGAAAACCAACCAGTGAGGGAGATGAATGCATCTGTAGTAGGACTAGTGTGGTTATTTAGCAAGGCATAAAGTCAAAGACATGTTGATAAAGAGAATGCGTTTCTCAAGCACACAATATACTATATTGTGCTTTCTTACATGACACTGAGGTTTTTTCTGGAAAAAAAATAACAGCTTTTGAAGTGGTAAGATATGTTTGCCTTTAGGTAAATTGGGCATAAAATAGAGCAAGGTGGAGCTAAAGCACCCAGTCAAGGAGGACTTGAGGAGAACAGGTGAAGAGACTACTAACCAGCTCCCTAGGCCAAGGAAAAAGAATAGGCCTTGCCACAGGCTTCCATATATTAAGCTCTTACATATTGATTAGAAATATACTGAGCAATCCATATCAAAAAGAACAATTTACATTATAAGGAACTCCTACAAAGCATTTCAAGATGAAAACAAACAGGGCACCTGGGTGGCTCAGTCAGTTAAGCGACTGCCTTCAGCTCAGGTCATGATCCCAGGGTCCTGGGATCAAGTCCCACGTCGGGCTCCCTGCTCTGCGGGGAGCCTGCTTCTCCCTCTCCCCCTCCCCCTGCTTGTGTTCCCTCTCTCGCTGTGTCTCTCTCTGTCAAATAAATAAATAAAATCTTTAAAAAAAAAGATGAAAACAAACAATCCAGTGCAAAAGGCATAGGATGGAAAATTTAAAGGAAAAAAAAAACCATGGCTTTTAAACATAGGAACAGATGCTTAACCTGATAATTAGTGCATTTTCAAATTATAATGATATACCATTTCATACAATTCATAAATATGCTCAACCAATTAAACATCAATTGCATAAGTACTTCTAGAAATGCAAAGTGAAACAATAGGATGCCATTTTTACATATAAAAGAAAAATAGGTTAGACCCAGTGCTGGCAAGGGTGCAGAGACAAACTTTAACACACTTTTAGTGAGAATATAAATCGGCAAAAAGCTTCCTAAATTATAAATATTTTCTAATTTTTCAAAAGCCTAAACTGCTCACATTCTTTGATATAGTCATTCTACTCCTAGGAAGCCATTCTAAGGAAATACTCTGAATTTCAGGCAAATACTTATGCACTGAATGTTAACCAGAGTCTTAGTTTTAGTAGTAAAGTATTTATAAAATCTAAAATAACCCAAAACAGTGGTGGAGAGGTTTGTTGGGAGGAATTAATGCTGCAAGAGTTGTTAAAATAAGTTATGGTATTCTCATGTGATGATTATGTAGCTATTAGAAGGTGGAGGAGGGTCGGTAATGTATCCTCCAGACTGAGAAGGTGCTTTCATATGGAAAAACGATGCAAGCCACTCTATACCATTTACACAGTATTATTCAGTTAACTTACCGACAGGGGTAATCAGGTAGGTGGATGGATGTACAACAAAGGGCACTATGCAGCTATTTTCCACCCCAAATTCCCCCCGCTCATTTTTGCCAGCCACCCAGTCCTTAATCTCCAGCTTTCATAGAGCGAGGGGCATGCTGGTGAGGTCACAGGGTAGTTATCTAAAGTGGTACTACCTCTGCACCCAATGGCTCTCTACTGGTTATCTACAGTAGCCAGAGGGGAGAACAAATGGAGGGCCAAAGATGAGTCAGTGTTGTCTACACTCCTACATTCCATCCCCAACATCTTTATGGCCCACACAATACCTGCACAGCATACTTCACTATGACCCTAGAGCCAGATTGCAGGAGATGACTTGCATTCCTAGGTCACAGCAGCAATACAAACAGCAATGCAAGATCCCCCAGGCCCGCTAAACGGGTCCTTTCCTCAGACCCAACAGCTGAAGCGACTGTGAATTTCAACCCAAGAGGTAGCCCATGACAGGAAGCTATTTCCTGATGCAACAGGAGGGAACATCAGCAATGCTAAGCTCAAGAGACAAATGCTCTATGGGCAATAGACATGGAAAATCTTATTTCAGCAATAACCTGGTAGATGTTTTGGCCCCATGAGCCAATACCACCCCTGCTTTTCATCATTCCTCATTCTGGAGAGATGGGGTGACAACCACCCTATCTTCTTCTTGCTGAAAATGGGTATAGATCAGAATTTGAAGAATGAAACAGCCTTGCATCCAATTAAAGATATTCCTTAGTAGTAAGTTGAACCCCCACCCTTCATAGAGCCATTATTTTGGAACTTTCGTGGGTGGTTGTAGCATCTTATTCTGTATTTCACATCAGGGTCGATTAGGTCAGTTCAATTAAACAGTGAATGGGGTCATTTCAGGAGGCGGTCCTGCAGGTGGGCTTTCAAAGGCAGGTCCATAGTATGCAAGCAATCTGGTAGATAAGTAGCCAGATATACAAGGAAACCAGAAGAATTCAGAATCCAGGCTAGTTTTATAGGTAAACAATAAACATTCAAGACAGTCAGAACTAGAATCTAATAGCCATAAAGATATGTTACTGAAACATTTTTTTCCTCTCTAAAAATCACCCTCAAAGGCAGCCAAGTTAAGACTAAGTTGTTTATAAACCAAGCCCAGTTTTAACTTGGCCTATTTACGTAAGTGCAGCAAGAATAGTGACTGGCCATTTGAGTTCTTTTAAATTTGGTTTGTGGGAACTTTTTTTTTTTTTCCCCAAGATTTTATTTATTCATTTGAGAGAGAGAGAGAGGAAGGAAGGGAAAGGGAAAGAGAATCTGAAGCAGACTCCTCACTGAGTGCAGAGCCCAACAGGGGGCTTGATCCACAACGGCGAGAACATGACCTGAGCCAAAACCAAGAGTCAGACCTTTAAACTGACTGAGCCACCCAGGTGCCCCTGCTAGAACTTTTCATAAGGGATTTCAGATTGTGCCTTAAACAGCCTTTTGAGGCCAAGAGCCAAGCCAAATACTTGCTATTAACTCCCCTGCAATGCTTATAGATTTGGGTTACTTCCTCTCTTCCCCAAAATCTTGTGAACTTGCCAGGAATTGACCTTCCTTACTTATCTGGTAAGGCTCCCAGGAACCCTATATGGAAGGTACCAGGCTGATTTTTTTTTTTTTTCTCCAACGGTCATTCATTGGCTCCATCAAGTCAACCTTAGTTCCTTCAAGCTGTCTGGTCACATCTGAGTCTATGCAGGTCTCTCTCAAATAGGACACTCCAGTCAAGGCCTTGGTAATACAACCAGTCATTCCAACAGTGTCGTGTTACAAGGAAAACATTCTTATTGAACTTCTACAAATAAGTATAATTGATTTCCCTTCAGACAGATTGTCCTGGTTTCACTTAAGTCAGCCACCAGAGCACCTACTGTAGCATTGGGTTGATTGATCATCGGGGCAAGGACAGATCCTAAGGTCCTGCACGATGCCCCAGGGGTCCTTTAGTCTCCCGGTATCCCACGGTCCTAACACCCAAGCTACCACCCCCTCTCGGCCCTTTTGCTTAAAGTGGCTCTTCAGCTCCACTAATTTAGTTGCAGAATATTCCCTCAGTCGCCGACTAGTGGGAATTTCCTCTCAGTCATCTCC